TTATGGCCCGAAATCGAATGCGTTCATCCGGGAGGCATTCCAACGAGACGACCAAGTCGAATGAGAGAAAGGATGAGGAGTTGCTGAGGAAAAAAAGGTGCGCCTATGGAAGGGTAAAAAAAAAGAGAGAGAGGGAAAGAGAGAGAGAAGAAGGAGAAGGACGAAACGTTGAGATGCAGACGGATGGCGTGCTACGATCGAGTCTTGTTTCTCGACTACGAAAGCTACCAGAAGAGCTACCAGAAGCCCTTCAGCCCGGCAGGGCGTAGCCCGCAGGCTCGATCATTACCGACATTGTCCGCTAATGGATATTTATGAATGCACCAATCAACGCCACCACTACCGGGCTTCAATGCAATCAGAATCGATTATATAGATTTCACCCGAGGGCGCAACCTTCGGTCGTCCTTGCAAAACACCCGCAACGCGTCAATGGACCATTGCACCTGATGATCTTTTGCATCGAATCTCCTACTGGGAAAAATGCATCGGCAGACTCTCGCGCTCGTTTTGTCCTGAGAATCGATGCCACTCTGCGTTCGAAGCATCATCCACTGACGGTCTTCTGAGACGTGTGCAGACGTCTCACGCGTATCTTAGATATATCATCCTCAAGATGATCGCATGGGCGATTACTTACTAATATATATTTTACTTTAGTGTGCCGTCTGATTGGCATATTCTCGCGTGAAAATCGCGAACTAAATTATAATTCGCATTACTATTCGTTAAGGTTGAGACCGCGTCAATTTACACATCGACATTTCTTCTCTATGAGCATTCAACCCGATGAAATATCAAGAAACACTTCTTGATACTTCTGATTGCGATGAAAGGAATAACGCTCTGTTCATCAGAGACACAGGTGTATTACCGAATATACTCGGTGTACCTTTCACGAACAGCTTCGTGTCGTCGGGGACACTTCCGAGAGCAGAGCTTTTGATCTCACCGCCTGCGGATCGCTTTTGTTTCCACCCTCTTCCGCGACTCGAAGAAACAAAGACCGATCGGCCGGGCTAATGAGGCCCCGCTAGCCCGGAGCACCATGCGTGTCGTGACGTAATCGCAACATTTTTAAAAAGTCACGAATGCGTTTAGCCTGCGTCCGCGCACTGAATGCTGTTACGGGGCATAACGCGCCGTGGCCGTGCCGCGTATAATATCGCATAAGGCCGCGTGCATTGTATGTTTACGAGTCGACCGGACGACCCGCGAGGGGCCGCGGGGCTGTTGCGGGGTGTTGGGCAACACGTGTCCGTATCGACGAGGATGTATCGACGGCAGCTCACCGCCCTCGGCTATATCCGCGTGTGGTCGCCGACGTGGACCTCAGGAGAGGACCGTGAGGCGCATTAAGCGTATCCCTTCTCTCGCGCAGGGCGAGCTGCCTTCGGGAGATGTTGCGAGGAATATTGGGACTTTACGCGTTTTCATCCGGCGACGATCGAGAGCCGCAGTGCCTTCGTGACGTTACCGCTGCGGGCAATATGATATATAGATAGTAAAAGATCAGTGCAGCGATAAAACCGGGATACTATTGGATATGGATTTAGTGGCGCACAGCGGCTCGTGTGTGTGTGTGCGAGCCTCTCTGGTGGGGGTTTAAATTCTCCTCTATATTAGATATCTTCATAATGGAATGCAAATTTGTATCTACGGCCCATGCGTGGGATAGCTAAAACGAAGATTAGAAAATGCGCGTGGAACTATTTAAGAAATTGCTAATTAAATATTCAAGCGTTTTCTCCTTTCATCAAGAAATTCTCGATTGTACTGATAGACTTGAGCGGCGCGCGAACATACACGTAGATTGTATCAACATTGTGAAGACGTTTTACTATCTGATTGAGTAATTTATCGGGATCGTTTAAAATTCTCACGGCGGCGTTCGCTCAGCGTTTCAGAGAGAGAGAGAGAGAGAGAGAGAGAGAGAGAGAGCAGCCCGCTGCAAGATCTGGTTTTAAGATGGATTATACTGATATATGTTCGATATACGAGCGAAGGTTACAGTGTCCAGCGGCGGTAGGGTGTCAAGTTATGGGATATACGCGTTACAAACGCAGAACTGAAGTACGAATAACTTGGCCGCGTTGCACGGTTAGCTATGGACTTTATAGCCAATTCATTTTATACGTTATTTCACCATGAAATGGTCGTTATATCGTGGCACATGAGCGCGTCCTATCTGCCGAAGGATAAATGCGCGGAAAACGCATTTGGCCGCGTACGGGCATTATTTCAGACCGATCAAGTTATCTAACATCTACAACGAGACGCCACTTGATCACCGGTATTTTTTCCCAGCACGTCCGAGCTGTTATACCCCGAATAGTTCAATCGTCGCGCAACGCTATAGCACACAAAATCCATTCACGAATTCAGACCCACGAGAACATGACCCGCGGCGTAGCAGTTATAACTTGATTCAGGGTGGAATCCATTGGACGCTTCGATATGTTCAGGTAACGCATCGGTGTCATTAATATCTCGTGTGCAGAAACACGTTTAAGTCTTTAAGCGTCGAACAGATCACATTCCAAGGCGTTTCCGAAATCCCCGAGAATCGGTCAATCAGAGATGCACGTTTCGCGGTGGAATCGACGCGAGGACGCGTCGGTTCTCCAATGACAACGTGGATCGGCGGATACCGAGGCAGTAGCATCATCAGAATGAAGAACGACTCGGAGGTGTCCACCTAAAGTTACTAATGATCCGGGCACCGTAGAATACATATGGAGCGGCGACCGGCGGCGGGGGGGAGAGAAGAGGAGAGGAGAGGAGAGAGAAGGGAGGGGGAGTCTGAATTAAAATCGCTCAGGCTATAGCAACGGCTACCTACCCTTCTCTTCTCCTATGATTAATGGAGAGTTCACACTCAGAATGCACACATAGGATAATTAAGGGGATATATTCCGGCCACCGAGTCTACGTATAATTTGAAGGATGTAACGGGTGGAGAGTTCGTCAGCGTGTGGCTGCTCATTGATTTCGCAGTATTTAGGTCTATTTATACACGGCTCCCGAGGAAGCACCGATTATTCATAAACAAGTCGCGTCGCGTTGTGAGACCGATGTTACGCGAAAACATATCGGAGGTCACAGGCTGCTCTCGCACGGAGAAACGTCGAACGCGAAACCTGTCGAAGTAACTCGGCAAAATGACCCACCGTGTCCGAGCGCAACACTCGAGTTCGCTGTAAATTGACACATTCAAGTGGGGACACGTTCACGAGTATAGTCAGCTCCCTGTTGAATGACATTAATTTCAACAAGTATAATCATTCAACCGGCAATTGACAGAAAAGACAGTTTTCACGAAGTCATAGTTACATGTAGATTTGCGAGCAAAAGGTGTTACAGCTTCACACGATAGGAAGTAGTCGCGAATGTGTCGTCTAATTTTATATCGACATTTTGACATCGGACATGGACAAAAAATTCGCGAAAGTCTCTCCGTCTCGACGAGGACACCCGGTACAGTTCATCTGCGCGGCAGGCTTTAAGATCCGTCGCATCATGCTACGTAGAAAGGATGTCCTAATCATTAATTCAGGGATTAGGCGTAAACAAACGATGATTTGATAACGTCCAGAGAAGCGGAGGCCGCCTCTTACGGCTACCGGGCTCGGCAGAGCCGAATGGAATCTTCACTTGATCCATTCACGCACTGTGCGTGCTGAAGGAGGACAGCGGCTGACGTTGGTAGGTACAGGTGGTATATCCGCTCGTTAATTATGTATACGACCATGCGAGAATTACGATCAATTAATTTTCGCCGATGTCCATCCGCGCTTACGAGAAACGGACGGTGCAGCACTTTTCCTCGCGAGCGACGCCTTTCTGCGGGTTTTAACGCGCGGATATAAATTGAGGCCGTCACCTCCGTACAGTTCGATAAAAGATCGTTGCATGAAGAATGCGTTCGGGAATAGATTGGACGTCGAGCGACAGTTCGAAGTGGCTTCTTTGTGCCTTGATTGCTCCTGGGAACTGGTTTACACGCTTTCTTTCACCGTCATACGACTTGTGAGGATCTGTTAGTAACGCACATGTGATTTTGTGGTTTTTCAGTGTGCATGTTAAATTTATAGGCGATGCACATTTCATCGAGTTTCCGGAGTTCGAATTAGAGCAAATATACATTATCGTGAATTCCATTGTGACAGTCTCTTTTTCAGTTATTTGCGATTACTTGCAAAAATTGTACAACGTATAATTTTACAAAAGTTTCGCCTTCAATTTTTTTTAATTAAAAGAAGAGTCATTTTAATGATATTCTGTGAGTCATTTGATTTTTGTGGATAATAATCGCGATATACAAGTCCAAACAATTAATTCATTCACGCGAAGTAACGACGAATTTTAATCAACATTCTAACAAACGTTGCCTGTGACGTAAGCCAGACGCGGTGAAAATTACCCGCGACAAATATAGTCGAAAAAAAAATAAACCCTGTTCAGATCAACACATCTTAAAAGTACTCATAGTCGCAAGTGGGAAAGCACTCCCGACGTGGAGAACTCTCTGAGCGGTATCGCCGTGCCGGCAGATCTCAGGATGTTGGAACCGGCGGGTTGGGAGGGTTGGTTTTCAGGGGGGTGGTACAAGCCACTGTAACCGAGAGGTAGATGGGGCTCCGGATGGCGATGCCCCGCTCGTTGGCTCGTGGTAGTGTGTATGGGAGCGAAAAGAGCGCCATTCTTTTGTAAGAAGCTCACATAAATTGCGACACCCAAGAGTTAAAAGCAGTCTTAAATTACGTGCCGTCGACTCCTTGATGAATTGAGTGCTCCCACCTCGCCCTCCGCCATCCTACCCCCGTCTTTCTCGCCGCTGCCGCCGCCGCCGCCGCCACCACCACCGCTTCACGGTACCCTCGGCTAGTGGTCGGGTGATATTATACATTGTTTTTACGTTCCTCTTACGGTCCGGCATCCACGATCCCTACGTACCTGGTAACTAGAGCAACTAGGTATAACGAACAGCTCCTTTATACCTGGCGGGGTTGTTTGCGACGGTGTTCTCACCCTTGCGTCATCCCGGTGGGGAGCTCTTCGCGGAATCACTCTCGAAATTATTTCTCGTCCTCTTCCGGTGATGTCGAACACTGAAACAAAAAGAGGGCCAAGAGAGCCCTGCATAAGAGATCTCTACATCTTCGAGTACTTGGTTTCTCTAGACTTTGAGCGCGAAGAGACCGGTAGGAGTGCCAACAATAGCTATCGCGAATGTTTCAGAACGCTATCGTTCGCGGATCTGAAGTCTCACGAGCGTGTTAGAAAGTAGAAATTCCGAATCACGTGACACGCTGTTATGAAGTTCCACGTGAGGGAACGAGGAGCGCCTACAAAGGCTGAAACTGATTCCAAGCAGGACGTTCACCGCGGATAATCGTTTCGTTTTGATATCTTGAAAGCGGCCGACTGAGGTAAATCCAAGCGGGACAATTTGTTACAGCGACGCGACCTTTACACCTTCCTCGCCGCGTGTGTATCCAGCCGACGGCCAACAACCGGCAGCAGAACAGAACAGAACGGGTTAGGGTTAGCGTTGGTGCCATCGTCGGGATTTTATTATTCAGGTTCCTACACACTGTGCCGGTGAAATCTTTATTTGGAATCATTCCAAGAACAATAACGTGTCCCCGTCTCATGCCGACAGTCCTCTCTCTCTCCTCTTGTCTCTCCCTCCCGCGTGCAGCGCGCCAAATAAAACTAAACGTAACCCAGTTATTTTCTGTTTGCGCCGTCCGATGATTCTCTCAGATATGATGGTTCCTCTCTCGGTGCCTCTCCGCTCGTTGGCAGTGGCGGCACGCGTGTATCATCGTGCATATAAATCAGTCCATGAGGATCAGATAGGATTTCAGAAATATAAAATACTCGGTGATATTAAAAAACAAAAGGAAGACGAAGCTGAGCAAGGAGTGTGCAGGAACGAAAGAGAAAAGTTGGAGGATAGAGATGGAATGAGAGAAGAAATCAAGAGAAACGTGAGACAGAGAAACAGAGACAGAGAGAGAGAGAGAGAGAGAGAGAGAGAGAGAAAGAGAGAGAGGACTGTCGACGAACGAGAAACGCATGATGATTGGTGGGTGGACTCAACGCTACAGAACCTGTTTACACAAATTTCGGATTAATTTATATACGTTGCGTTTTCGAAATCTGAAGAGACTAGAATGATTAATTAACTTAAAGCGTTGAAATGATAAAAGTAGTATCAGATAAGTATCAGATAAGTCCTGATAACGAGATTTATTTGTTTCTTCAATCTTCCAAAATGACTTAAAAAGTGAAATCTAGTCTTACGCAGAACAATGTAGTAATGGTGAACGATAAGAAACACTTTTGGCCATATGTCGTAGGTAAATTATTCATCGAACATAAAATTTAGGAAAATCTACAGACATATTTATGCGTGGTTGTTTTTTAATTACGGACAAATGATTCGAAAATTTGCGATTAAACGGAAAGGACAAAATCATTGTCCTCGGATCGACCGCCTTGCAAAACTCCAGATCTTCTTGCCCAGTATTCGGCATTAGCCACGATTATCATATTTTCGTTGAGAATCTGGTGCCATAAATTTGATCTCGTTATCTCGTTTACGGACTGCACTCGCGCAACGAAGCGAGAGGAAAACGACAGCGAAGACGCGGGCTCGACTGGCGAGAAAGAGAAAAGGCCAGACAATGTAGGAAAACGAGCATGAGGATCAGAAACATTTCAAGAGCGACTGGTATCCCGCTAATGCGAAAAAGAAATATGTTATAAACACCGACAGATAAAACATCATCGAAAGCTTATCATATTTCAATCGGTGTATTCCGATCGTCACAATTTCCCGCGTATGCCCAGTAATCTCCAACACCGATACATTCTGACGTCACTTAAAAATCGCGCGACACGTCTTGATCTTTATCAGCGCGGTTAATTGTCGACGAAGCTTCCGTGGTCGTTTCGCGGTGAATCGAACGAGCCGGTAAGACCGCGCGGGGGAACACATGCGGCGCGCACAAACACACACGCTCGGCCGAACGTGCGAGGCGATGCGCCTCTTTTTTTGATTCGGCTAATTTCGCCATGGTCGCTTTTACGCGCATAACTGCGCATAAGCGAAATTTATGCCGGGCGATTTGATTACCGCGATATAAACTTGATGCGGACACGCGGACTCGGACGACAAGACGGGGACATATATCACGTGGCTGGTTCGGTAGTACCACGCGGCTGGCCTCGGTTTCTCGGTATCGTTCTTGATACCCGTCCGCTCTTTCGTTCCGCTCTCTCGTCTTTCCCCCTTCGATCTCCACGCTTCGATCTTTCTATCTCGGAATCCATAACTGATTAACGGTATCAATTACCACGTCAGACAAGATTTTCGTGCCGTGATATTTATTGGCTGTGCCGAAGTATCATTCGCGAAAGCAGACACCCGGAGAAAAATGGGTTCACACGAGAACACACGAAATCCGTCTGGCGGATGGTTTTTTGGTCGTGCCAGTAACTGTCTGAGACAATAAGTTATAAATATTGAAATATGCCTGCAGTTCACTGACCCGCCCTTTCCTCCTATTCTCTGCCCGCCCTGTGTTGTTCGCGACAAAAACCTTTCGTCCGAGTCACGAACGACCGCCGATCGGTATATTAGAGGACCGTGTCGCCCACGACACGCTGGCTCGTGTTTCTGTGTAGGCATTATTAGCAAAATTTGTGTACTAATTCGAATGTAGCGCACGCCGGTGTAGGTAGGTATGCTCGCGTGTGTATATGTGCACAGGATGCATCTGCAATGCGTCGGCATTGTCAACTTCTTTAAATTAGTATTAATAAGATGAGGGAATTTTTGGCTCGTCTCGAAAGGTACAGGAACTCGTCTAACTAACAAGACACATACCAGTACATACGTACTTTTATTGCTGTTTCATCTGAAGCATTATGTGCAAATCGAAAGGACTTCTATTCCTTAAACATGCAGACACTTGGCGATATTAAACGACGTGTATTGGACATCTGCGATTATCGCATTTTTACGTACTGATGACTTTGCAGCTCGTATTGCGGCGATGCTGAAAGAGTAAAGTGAAGTTTATAAATGTAGCTCTCGCATGGCCAACGGTATAAGCGCGCTGATAAATGTGCGCTGAGAATGACGGACCAATATACACGTCAGGCGAAGTTTCGATTGTCATACGTCCGATTACAGATACGATATAGCGCGCGACTCGAGAGCCACGAAAATAATCTTGACCATAGCCTCAAATAATCCATGGTCACGGGTGGGAGGACAACGATTATGGGGTTACCTTGGTCAGAGGGTGTTCGATGTCCGATGCTGTAGGTACGAGGACTATAAATCATAATTAGGCTGCAAGCGGTAGCTGCGAAGTGGCTGCAGGCCCATTAGCAGCAACAATGCACCCAAGCAGCTTAAGACGTCGTTGTTGCCAGAAGAAGAGTAACTCGGCTCTCCATTTACTCGAACCAGATCGTATCGCGGTTATGTAGCAGGACACTCGCATGGCGAAAATAATAGACGTGGAATATGTAATGAATATTTGCGCGCGATATACGCCGTCATTTATCCTCTTTAAGCGTGGCGTTGAGACCACTTAAAAATGCTAATACTCATCATTATCAGGAAATTCGAACATAATGAGTTGTATTTAGCTTCTGGAATCTGCTTAGCTCTGCACACAGCCTCTATTCGATTTTTTCTCGGTGGAAACGTCGGGACTGGTTATCGCGTTATAAGGATCAATGTGCTAATTGAAACGTAATTATCCGAATAATCGACAAGATCGAGCAGAAAATTTCCAATATAGAAAATAGTCCGGCGCATAATCGGCGATTTAACGGAAGGAACCTTGGTTACTTTTTTTCTTAAGGGTATTGGCTTCTTGGAGATCTGCTGTTCGAACAGGTTCTATGGGGCAATGATTAAGCAATATTGCTCTCGGTGTGGAAGCACCTAAGAAACCTCACTTGAAAATATCACACGTGACAGTGATGTGGAATTGAAAAAATAAATATACATTTTTATTATATCCATATTAACGTATGCATACACACGCACACATTTATTCGTTTATTTTCTTAGTGACATTTCTACAAGACTTCTCGTGCCTTAATTTATAACAAATATTTTCCGCTCTCATTTTCTTTGATCTGATAAGAAAATCGTCTATGTATTCTTTATCAATTTCTTTTTACACGCAGCAATCGTGATAATTTCTCTTTAAATTAAAACATCGCTATTTATATAACAGGCGAGAGAAAGAGAGACCTCGTCTCTTGGCGAGGTTTCGAGGAATCTTGGAGCACAAGATCGAGACCTGTCAGATTATTATAGTGAGTCGTCGATACTTGAGTCGAGTGCACGGAGATGAGTCTTCAATTCTCCTGACGCTGATGCTCCTCGATCGACGAGCGAAGTGGCCACAACGGATTCCATTCAGTCGATCTACGGTGGTCACCTTTGGTGGTCCGAAATTCCTTACACTCCAAATTACTTCCACTCGTAAGCGGAAATCGGCCGTCTACTTCGTTTGCGGGCAATCAGGGACCCACTCTGCTTCTCGTGCGAGTTCGATGCTGATGAAGCGCGGTCGAAAGATTCATCGAATCCTTTCTCCCCCCATTAGATTTTACTGCACCCATAATTATTTCTGTGCAAGCCAAAACCGCCAGGTCGGGTCCGAATCCCCAAGATTAAAACTGCATCCTGCCTCATGCACTTTTTCCACTAGCGTGTTTTTCAGCGTTATTCGAGGAATGATATCAAGACTTGCTCGTTTCGCTGGATTTGTATGAATAAAAAAATATTGAGAATGTTCGTATTCTATAACGTCGCCTGAAAATAGTTGAATATTTATTCTCCCCGTGAGAGATGTATTCGAATATATTTCTATATTTTTTCTACAGCTAAAATTTTTCTGTATTTTCAAAATATGAATCGAGCAGATTTACATGTCACAATCTTCGTCCCGTATCTTCGTTACGCATTAGCCGCGAGGACCGATAGAAAGTCATGTTATTTCGCGAACATCTCGAGTGTTTGCGCATCGATGCTGAGCGTTTCTCCGTCAAATGACGAATGAGCAGAAGT